GGGGCCGGATGCTGCCAGCTCGCTGGGCTCCGGGCACAGAGCCTCCGCGCCCGCGGGTTCACGCACAGCGCTGCCCCGAAGCGCACGTCAGCATTTAAATTCCTCCATCACCAGTGAGGGCGATTTACAGCCAGACGACATACGCTTGAGCTAAATTTCAGTAGCGATGAAAAGTGGAAGATGCTAAATTACAGAACCGTCTTTATAAAGTTTACTTACTACAAAATAAAATGAAGTAAGACAGCGGCGGCTGATGGCCGCACCTCCCCGGGGAAGTGCGGACAGCGCCCCCGCCGGCCAGGTTAAGCTACCGTGCGCCCCCTCAGCCCAAATGCCGCAACGTCTCTGTGTCATTCAAAACTTGAGTCTCAGCCTTGGCAGAACCTAACCTAGACATTCTTACACGCTCATCTGCTGGGAGAGGCCCTGGATCTGGGATTTTCAGAGGCCCCTCAGGAGAGGCGCAGGAGCTGGAAGGTTGGCAACCATGGCCCCCATCGCCTCTGGGCCGAGGACAGCCAGCTGTCGCACGCAGGGCTGGGAGGGGGCACCAGCTGCTGCCTCCTGGTGGGAGGCCTTCATGCCCGGGGATGGAGGGCACCCAGCCCTGTCCAGACGGTGACACGGGGCACTGCTGGGACATCCTTGATGATCACCCCACCTTACCCCTCCCTCTTCCCCGGCGAGGAAGAGGCCAAGTGCAGCCACCTAACGAGAGCTTCTCAAACCGCAGCAGGCTTGGAAAAGAGGGAAATGATGAACTCAGCATGAAGACAACATTCCTTGCAGTAAAAGAAGGTTGGATTGTGAGTGCTAACTGGCCTCAACACATTCCCGGGCACCAAAAGCTGGGCAGGGCTTCCTGAAGACATTTAAGAATGGATTTATGCATCCACTGTGGAAAACAGTATGGGGATTCTTTAAAAAACTAAAAATGGACTTACCACATGATCCAGTGATCCTACTCCTGGGCACATATCCGAAGGGAATTCTAATTTGAAAAGATACATGCACCCCAATGTTCACAGCAACACTATTTACAATAGCCAAGATGTGGAAGAACCTAAGTGTCCCCCAACAGATGAATGGATAAAGGAGATATAGTATTTATTTAAAATGGAATACTACTTGGCCATAGAAAAGACTAAAATAGTGCCACTTGCAGCAACATGGATGGACCTGGAGATCATCATTCTAAGTGAAGTCAGCCAGAAAGAGAAAGAAAAATACCATATGAGATTGCTCATATGTGGAATATAGAAAAAAAGACAAATGAACTTATTTACAAAACAGAAACAGACTCAGGGACATAGAAAACAAACTTCTGGTCACCGGGGGGACAGAGAGTACAAAGGGATAAACTGGGAGTTCGAGATTTGCAGACACAAAAACTACTACACATAGAACAGACAGACAGCAAGGTCCTACTGCGCAGCACAGGGAAGCCTATTCAACATCTTGTAACAGCCTATCATGAAAAAGAGTATGAAAATGAACATGTGTGTGTACGTGTGACTGAAACCTTATGCTGACCACCAGAAATGGACACAACGTTGTAAAGTGACTATAATTCAACTAAAAAAAATAAGAACTGATATACAATTTTTAGAAAAGAATGGGTTTAAATAAGAGGTGACTTCCTAATCACCTCTTTAGAAGCCGAGACAAAGTCCAGGCGGAGCAGACGGACCCTTCATAGACAACGACTGTGCCCCGCGCCCCACAGACACGGCCCACGGCCTCCCAGGAGAGCATCGCACGGACCCACGTGGCCCGTCCCAGGAGACCACTTCCGCCCTTTCACATTTAGCAGCTTTATGAGTTTGCAACACTCCGTATGTATGAATTCATATAAAGTAACATACTTTCCATTCTTTTTGGACAGCAAAGGGCCATTTTACAATTTCTACTTGTTGAACTGAACAGGAATGGGGCACTTTGAAGCCAAAGGGACCTAAACAGTGAGTAACC